ACTTTTGGTTAACCCCTTCGAGTTTCAAATATGGGACACATAGCCCTTAGCTTTTCTCCAACTTTTCTCTTTTCTCTTCTTGGAAAAATGTTCTCTCAAAACTTCTTTCTAGTGCTTCTTTTCATCCTCGGCTTGCCAGGAAAACCATTAAACCTACTCCAATAGCCACTGATATTCTTTCTCGCTCTTTGATTGGCTTTGGGGAAGTTTCTGGACAACAAGAAATGGGTTTATCTCTCCAGAAAATTCTAGGTTACTTTCATGGAGTGACAGTAACTGCAAATTGGTTTTCCTGTTATAATTATTGGAGGCTCTTGAAATTTCTAGAGAGACCCTAAAACCAGTGTTGGAAACCACTGCTCGGTCCCAGTACTTGGTCCATGCCCGATCTGAGTGCTCAGACTGAGTTTGAGTAACTCGGCTCGAGTCGTATCGAGTACTGGAGCAGGAAAAATTATAAAAATTACAAAAAGAATCCAAAAAACTAGGAAATGTATGTTTAAAGTAAGATTAAGCAAAACACATCAAAATGAGGTTAAAGAAGTAGAAAAAAAATAGAGTTTAAAAATCAACTAGTGACTGGCGGTATTGTCAAAATAATTCAAAAAAATGGGAAAATGTAAAAATAAGTTTTTATGGCCAAAGCACTTTCCAATATTTGCCAAAATGATAGAAAACATAAAAAAAACATATCACAAATAAATTCCTTATTTTTTGGGATTTTTATGATTTGTTTTAATTTTTTTTTAATATCCTCGAGTGGGACACCCAACTCGGTGTAACTCGGGCTCACCAAGGTGCCGACTCCTGAGTACTCGACCCAATTACTCGGCACTCGGACCGAGTAGTCAAATGCTGCCTAAAACTGCATCATCCTTATGCCAAACTACTTGGGGTATCTTCTTCCTTTTCAAAACACCTTGTCAATCCTTCCTTGGTAAACCAGAACGGGCTTTCATTCTCAAATAAGTCCTCATTGCTGATGTTCTTGTCATCTCTGAGAGTTTTAACGAAGATCAAATAGAACAATATGAAAATGAAATTTTGAGAGTAGAAATTTTGGAAATAGTTTCTGATTTTGAAGAAATATCTCAGTTTATAGCTATGGACTAATTTCTCTCATTTCATCCTCATCAATGGAAAAAGCCTGCTTACCAACTTTGTTTACTGAAACTTGTCGAGATTTAATGGAGAAAGGGCAAGGCTATGAAGAGTTTTTTGCGACAAAAGGCTGAAATCCAGTTGGAAAGAAGGTTTCTCTCTCTAAAATCTTTGAATATTTCTTGTTGACCTTAGAGAGGGAAATGGGGTTTTGTTGCCGTACGAAGTCTATTGGTCTTCAAGGAGAAGAATTCAATAGTGTCAGGTGTAATCACCCCCAAATCCCTCCTCCATTTAGCCTATTCCAAAAACCTCTCAATCCAATGCACTGCTGGTCACTCTTGGCTATCTATCTCCCATGGGGTGGAAGAGAGAGAGAGAGAGGGAGGTTGCTTCATGGGAGGAGGTCTTCTTGGGTTTTGGATGAAGGGCACATTGTCTAAAAGAGAAGGGCGTAGTATGTAAACTGGACCAAAGAAGAAGAAGGAAGGGGGTTTCATGTCCAGCTTTGAAAACTTTGAGGGGGGTCCACAAACTTTCCATGGACCTGAGGGTTTATTTGGCACCATAAAAGCAGGAGGGGAATACCTTTATTCCCAAAAAATTTCATAAGTTATTGCTGAGCTAGTAATTTGGTTTCAGTACTCCATAGAAATGCATTGAAGCTTAGAGTTCTGAAATTGTGATTTATGATGCATGGATATGCCTCTGGACATGTCTAAAACATCAGTTTATAGTTTCTAGGTATGTTTTTGAGGCTCCTGACCTGGATATGGCACCCATTTTAAAGCATATATGTATCTTAGACTGTGGATAGTACCGGTCCGAACTAAGTTGGTACGTAAAAGTAGTTAAGGGCGTTATGTAAATCGTAAACCCTAGGAACCTAAGGTAAGTAAGAAA